AGGATCTCACTATGTAGCCCAGACTGGCCTTGAACTCACAATACTTCAGCCTGCACCTCTTCTGTGCTTACTTAATTCGGGTCTATGTGCAAAAGAAATTAACTGTCAGGAAAGACAGAAAATACACAAAGATGATGTCTCTCTGATGAATAATTTTGATTTTTTGTACTGTCTGAATATATATTATAATCAGGAAAATTAATTTTTAAAAGAAAATGGTTTGATGGATTTTGAACTGGAAGCCATTTGCGACTTCGTGTGGTTGTTTAGTCACTGAACAAGTATTTGCCAACCACCACTGTGTCTCACTTGCTGGGCCTCCTTCTGCAGTGGAGGTCCAACTAAAGAAGCCTCTCGTCCTGTGGTGCTGTCGGCATAAGGACAGAGGACAGGCAGGCTGGCGAGTAATCACCGCTTCACCCTCACTGCCGTCACCTGGCCCAGGCTTCCCTGCAGCCACCCCTCTGGCACAGTTACATCTCTGCTTCTTCTTCTGACCTTTAGCCTCTTGAAGGTAAACAGAGCCAGACCATACACACCGGTGCAGACTGGGCAGTGCCTGCTGGACCCAAGTCTGACTGCACATTGGTGGCTTCCCCTGCATGGAGCACATCGTGGCAACACAAGGACAGTGTTTGTGTGACCCCTTACTTGTGGACGGTTTTACACTTCTGTCTGCTGAGCAGTTGGTGGTGTGTCCTCCTTCTTCCATGATTCTCATTTAGCAAATTCTACATAAGGTTAGAATTTTTAAAAAAAGCTCAGGGGGTTGTGTTTAACTTCCCTGGGCTGGAGGTGTGGCTCAGAGTTAGAGCACTTGACTATAAGCAGGAGGGCCTGGGTCCATCTCCAGCACTGAAAAAGATTTCTGAAGGGATGAAGTGATCTGTATATGGTTGTGGACCTACGATTCATTTTGCATACACCAAAAGCATCTCCATTGTTATACTGGCTGCATATTTCTGAGATATATTTTATGCTCATTACTTCTTTCAGATCATGGTGGTTGCTGTACCAGCTGCCAGGTCCTGTCATTTGACATGTTAACAAACAGGCACATATATTATTTTATCATTTTTTTATTTTATCATTTTAAAAGTTATTTTGGTGGTGCACTTCTGTGAAATTGGTTGCCTTGAAATCATGCCACTTTTCTATCCACTGAACATGTGGCTTTCAGAGGGGTCTGTGAACATACCCACCCTTCCAAACAAGGCTTTGACAGAAAAAACGGCCAAGTCCTCACATTCCTCATAAGAAACCTCATGTTCTAAATATGAAGGTGATAACTGCAGTGCTAGTAGGGTAAGGGCTGGTTTACTGCGTTCTGTGTACTGCCTGAACATCTGAGCATGTGAACTGCCTGTTGATGACTCCCTGCAGGCAGGGCACTGGGAAGCCTCTTACAGATGAGACAGTCAAGGTGCAGAGCGCCGCACAGCTACAGATCACAGCCAGAGGAAGGAGCAGTGGGCCTGTGTCTCCTTGAGGGCCCTGGCTCCTGGCTCCACCCCACTTTCACAGAACTTTGAGATGACTGGCAGCCAGAGAGATGACCATTGATCACAGGCCCCTCTGTTTTCTGGGATCAGCCTCGACTTGGATTGTGACCAGCTTCCCCTCTTAGAGGAGGAGTCCGGGGTGCTTTTCTACCTGGGCTCTAGTGCTAGGCTGGGACACAGAGTGAGCACCTGGTCCTCGAGTATGAGCCTATTTGGCTGGAGAACAGCAAGCTTCATAGGCATATCTGGCTCAGAGCGGCAGCTGCAGTTCTGCGCCCAGCCCCTCATGAGCCTTGTGGTTTGCAGTACCCAGCTGATGATTAGGATGTTCCTCCCAGACAGGGAGCTGAGCCTATCCACCTGACACCATGGATCAGGGGACTGCAGCTCAGGGCAAGGTGTCCTTCACATAGGTGAGGCACTGGCCGTGGCTGCTGTGGTGCCACAATATTTGCAGTCTGCACTAGGCTTGCTTTCTGTTTTCCTTTATTCTCTCTGGGACATTGGGCCTAGGTAGTCTCCTCTATTTGGCTCTCAAGAGTCTGTTCTCTTAGGACAAGAGCTCCGCAGGCTTCCACACCCACATATCTTGGCCAGGGGGTGCCATGCACGCTTACTGCAAGGTAGGCCTGGATGAAGACCCTACTCTCCCCTGCTTGCAGCAGGTTGGTGAAAGAGCCATGAGCTTTACAAGGTCCAGAAGTGATGAGGTGCTTTATGTGATACATTCTACTTAAGACTGACATGCAGCCATATAGTGTGTGCACTTCTGTTGTGCCAGTATGCACAAGCATACTGTGCACACCTATAATCACTGTCCACAGGAGGATTGCAAGTTCAAGTCCACCATGGGCAACTTAGTGAGACTGTATGGAGAGAAAGAGAGCGAGAGCGAGAGCGAGAGCGAGAGCGAGAGCGAGAGCGAGAGCGAGAATGAGAGAGAGAGAGAGAGAGAGAGAGAGAGAGAGAGAGAGAGAAAGGGGAAAAGGCAAGGAATATATCTCAGTGGTAGAGCACTGGGTTCAATTTCCAGTACCAAAAGAAAAAAAGAAAAGAAAAGAAGCCCCATGCCCTTGAATTATCAATTCTTGACCCACCATATCCCTACCTATTTTATGTTGCTATAGGTTTTCCAGTCCTGGCCATCTTTCATGAGTGGAGTCAGGCTACATATGGACTTTTGTGCCTGCCTCAGGCACCTGGAAGCATGTTTCCAGAGTCTGTGTGATGTGTCTATCAATTTCTTCATGTTTCTCTATGTCTAGACAGAATTTTGGTATTGGTTAGGCTGTACTTTGATTATCAGTTTATCAATAGATAAGCATTAGACTGTTTCTAATTTGCCTGGTATGGATATGGTTGTTGTGAATATTCACACATAAGTGAGTAAGTAGACATGTGTTTTCCTTTCTCTTGACATTTACCTGGACATGGCATTGCTGGGCTATATAGTGAGTCTAGGGTTAGTCACTTGAGGAATGGCAGCACGGCCTTCCAAAGGGGCTGCCCCATGTTCCTTTCCCACCAGCAGGCTCTGATTTCTTCAGATCCTTGCCAACATTCAGTATTATCTGTATACTTTGGATTATGGCCAACCTAGTAGGTTCAAAATGAGAATGAGTAATTTCAGTCTGGTTTGGATTTTCATTTCCCTGATGACTAATGAAATTAGGCATCTTCTCATGTGCTTATCACCATTTGTGTATCCTCCTTAGGAAAAAAGTCTACTCAGATCCTTTGCCTATCTTTTAATTGAGGTCTTTTTAAATTATTTATTTATTTATTTTGTGTGTGTGTGTGTGGCCAGCTCAGTCCACGAGGGGGCAGGGCTGGCTGGCATGTGGTGCTGGGGGATTGAACCACAGTCCCAGTGCTTTGCTAAGCTTGTTCTAAATAGGTGCTTTAGACCACTGAGCCATCTCACCAGCCCGAGGTTTTTTTTTTTTTTTTTTTTTTTTTTTATCAGTGAACACTATGAGTTCTTTAAATATTACAGGTATAATTCCTTATCAGGTATATGATTTGCAGATACTTTCCTTCCCCTTTTGAGGATTATATTTTCACTTCCTTGATGGCATCTTTTGAAGCACAAAAGATTTCAAATTTGATGGTCTGTTTCATCTTTTTTTCTTATTGCCTATTTTTGGTCTAACAGCTAAGAATTCATTGCAAAATCCAAGGGCATGGAGGAGATTGATTTACACCTGTGTTTCCTACAAGTGTTTTATGGTTTTGCCCATATACTGAGGTCTGTGGTCCATTTCAAATTAATTTTGTGTATGATGAAAGACAAAAGGCCACACCATTTTTGCATGGGGACATCCAAGTATCTGAGCACCATTTGTTGAAAGAATGATTCTTCTCCATTGAGTGTTCTTAGCATCTGTGTCAGCCAGCTACCCATGACTGTGGTAAAACACCTGACATTAGCAACATAAAAGGGTGAAGACTTACTTTGGCTCATGGATTCAGAGGTTTCACTGCATGGTCTGGGTTCATTGCTTGGGGCTGGAGGCAAGGCAGAGCACCACTGTGGCACAAGTGTGTGGAGAAGGAGGCTGCTCACCTAGAGGCTGCCAGAATCAGAAAGAGAAAGAACCAGAAGAGAAGGAATTGGAAGGCCACATTCCATGACTCCCTCTCTTCAAGAAGGCCCTACATCTATGGACCACGTTCCTTTAGCATCACCCACTGCTGTGGTACCTTACTAAAGAAGAGTTGGTAAAGACAGGAAGTAGTACACACCATAGGTACATTCTTGACAAGAGTTGCCAGTGTCTACCCTCACAGGGGTTCTTTTAACTCACCAATGGGGACACATCACTCACTGAGACTGCTTGGAATCATTCATTGGCATCGACACGCCCGCTCCAAATCCAGTGGAGCTGGATGCTCTGACTTGGGCCCACGGGGCCGCCCCTCTGAGGCCTGTGCGCAGAGCTGCACGGGAAACACCTGGAAAGAGACCAAGGCTCTTGGCTGCCTTGATAGCCCACCAGGTGACGGGGAAGGGTTCTGTAATGCAGAAGGCCACACTTCACATTCCACACTCCAGGAGAGAGTGTTCTCAGTTCAAGCCCAGATAGGGCCAAGGTCACAGGCCAACCTCAGGTCCATGGCACTGCAGGGGCCAGCACCTCCCCAGTTCAGTCCTCTCTCTGTCCATCCAGAATGACCTGTCTGGTTCTTCTGTGGATGGCAGTCCTGCGGCTTCAGGGGAAGCTCATGACGTGTGAACTCACATCCAGATGTGAAGGGCCTGCACTTTCCAGGCCAGAAGGTTGGAGACTTCCCATGTGGGAGCCCCTCCTGCTGTCTTATCCACGGTTCACCATGACTCTGGGCCTCTGGGTTGGTTACCAGCTTGAGGCAAGGAGCTCTGAGCAGTGATTTTATACTTAGGTTAAGATCTCTGATTTCACAATGGAAAGTGATTACAGCTCTCCTGTGTAGCTACAGTCAAGGAGCTCATTACTAACAACACTGCTCTGGCCCTGAGCCTTTCAGGGACCATTTCTGAGGTTAGAAACTGGTGGCTCTCCTTGGACACTCAGATAAACCCAACAACAGAACTGTGTGAACTCTACATAGTTCCCTCCCTACAACACTTCCTGCCTCCTTCCTGTGTCATATACCCTGTGCCTGAGGCTCCACTATGGATTTATTTGATTCATTGTGATTTGGAAGCCACCATGAGCTCTGGAGACAAGTGTAGGTTGAAGGTTTTACAGGGTTCAGAGTGCTTCTGCACAAGACCTTCAGGGCAATTCCCATCATCCCCACAAGCTCTCACATAAAGGGAGGGACAGTGAATCTCCAGGAGCTCCCAAGCTGCGTGCAGAGCTTCAGGTCCTGAGCTCCACAGCCTGACAGGGACCTGCCAGTTCTGCTGTGTGAGCTGACACCTTCAGGGACTGCACAGCCTTAGCTTGTGCCTTAGGCACACCTGTGTCTGCCATGGTCTAGCTGCAATCTTGGCCAACTTCTGTTCTTCCGTGTACTTCAGTTTCTCCACCTGTGAAATGAGAAGAATGACAGCCCCACCTCCCTAAACCACTCAAAGGGTAGAGAGCTATGTGATCCAGTTTCCAGCAGCTGTCACCAGAGGACCCTTTCTTATAGTGGCTGGGGACTAGGCTTAGGTAGGTGGTGGGTTCAGGCCACTGTGTGGGTATCCCTCACCATGGATTTCTAAAAGACAGTAGCCTCTGCTCTTCAGTTCACCTGCTCCTCCCACATCCTGCCCAGGACCCTGGCTGCCGGTGGGAGCTTCTTTGTTATCTCCTGTAGGTGGCTTCATTTCAACAGTCAGTCTGTCTCCTGGTCCTCATGATGGCAGCCACTTTCTCCAGGAGTAGGTGGTTGTTCTTGTTAATGATGGAAATCTGCTCCTCCTCCATCTGTGGACAGAAGGGGCCTAGGAGAGTAGGGCTTCCTTTTGGCACACTTGAGGCTGGGATCCTACACCCACCTAGCTGCTGCCATCAACAGAGGCTGGGGGTGGGGGGGGGGAGCTGCTAGCTGGGAGGTGCCCGTGCAGAGCCATAAGAAAAGTGAGGGTGTGCACAGCCTGATGTAGTTAGGTTACTGTCTCAAACTGACATGAGGCCAGCATGCTGATATTTCATATTTTAAGAGAGATGAGACACATACTTCATATTATACAGAAGAACAGGTGTTTGAACCTGGGGGAAGGAATGTGCCCTCCGTTGTAGGCTTTCACACTGGCTGCTGTGCTCATTTGCTCAAGTCCTGCTCCTTGCTTGTCTGTGCAGCTGTCTAGACATTGTTACTTGGAGGATATAGACAGGGACACAGCTCAGTGATGTGGAGACATTGCTATGAGCAAAACCATGTGGTTCTTACTCAAAAATGGCCTGAACTTCAGAAATAAATGTTCTGAGGTGTCCAAGAAGTGTTCTGGTTCAAAGAAATGATGCTGATTAATGATTCTGGGCTCAGCTACGTAAGTGGCCACTGTGACCAGTCCACCTGTGTCTCAGACATGAAGGCCAGGAGAAGACATACAGGGCCAGTCACTGGCTCCAGATGCCTCCCCCTTGGGCTGTTTAATGTGCACATATGGGAGTAGCTAAGACATTGCCAAGGGAAAGTTGAGAAGTTACCTTGAGCTTCTTGAACTTCACATGGAGATGGGAGAAAGTGGATGGGGTGCGAGTGTCCATTAGAGGCTGGGCATTCTGGACCTGGAGCACAAAGCAGATGAGTGGTTAAGCAAATAATGAAGTGAGCCTAATTGAGCAGTCTCTGGGGTACAAGGACTGGGGATACTGTTAATGATAGAGCCAGGGTTCTAAATCAGCAACACCAGAAAATTATGAATCCTGACCTAAAACAGAAAGTAATGTTGCCTGGCAAGGATAGGCAGCCAAAAGAAAGGAACCATGGTTTACATTCCATTGGACAATCCAGCAAGTACAAGGTAAACATACGTATGTGCGAACAGCCACAAAAGTGTCTTTTGCAGTATACTGAAGGACATCCTTTGCACAGAAGCCTACTGAAGATGAACAAGACGAAGGAATGCACCCCATGCTTTCACCAAATTGTCCTTGTGCTCTAGCCATGGCCAGGACAGGGAATCCTGTTGCGTGCCACCTCGCGCTATCTGTGTTCTCCAGCAGTGGTCAGGACCAGCGTCCTCAACACCACCAAAATGATCTCTGCAGCGTGTACGTGGTTCAGAATCATGCGACTAAGTGAGAAAACATTTATCTTAAACTGTCCTAGACTAGATCAGTGATGGCACACCTTTTAGAACTTTCAGTAGCAACACCAGCTGAGGCATGCGTGTCATAGGTTTGCCACCACTGACTAGATGCATGTGGTCTGTGTATATTATTGTTTGCAACAATAGGCATCCACTCTGTGGAGATCTTTGATTTCTAGCTTATAGCTGATAAGCTGAAGATGATAGCATTAAGAACTGTGATGCAAATCAGAGCACATCTAAATGGCAAAATATGCAGTCCGAAGATCACACCCATGTGTCCTTGACTGATGGACAAAGGCCCCAGTGCAGTGAAGTATCAGGAGGGGCAGTATGTGAGGTATTCTGGAGACCACTCAGGGAGAGGCAGCAGGGGAGTGTTAAAACTCTGTCCCTGTATGGGAAAAGGCAAGACTGAGGCAAGTGGCATTTGGAGTTGCCAGATGTCTGTGGGGTGTGGATAGGGCTGGATGAAGGGAAACAGGAGACAGGTGACAAGCTTCTGTGACCCTGGGGATACCTGGTCATCTCCAGCCAGAATGCAGTGGTGAGTGGGGTTGGAGCATGGTCAGAAGATGCTGTGCAGGATGGTCTGGATCACCATGTGGGGCTCCCAGAAGAACATGTGCTCTGGAGTCCAAACATTTCTAAGATTCAACACCGATACTAGGAATAAACCCTAGCTTGCTTCATTGCAGAATCGTGTTTTCTTTTAAATACCCTGTGTCCCTGCTTTACCTCTGACACTGGACACTGGGCAAGCAAATCCCTCTGGGGAAGAGCTAGGGGTGAATGTGGAAGCCATTGTGGTAAAGATTAGTGTGGGCAGTGCCAACTGAGGCCAGGAGGGGGCAGCCTGCAGATCTCAGGAGAGTACAGCGCAGTCTACACAGGGAGAAATGGGTCTCACTATGACCTAATGCTGACAGGCAAAACCAGTGTTACAGAGACACAGGTACTGCAGTGCCCCTGGTCTGGATGCTTGAGAAGGATTGGTCCCATTACACTGTCCTTTAGTTAGAGATGCATGTACTTATGAGGAAACCTCAGAGAAACATGGTGTGAGGCATGTTCTAGAAACAAGTACCTTCTGTGCTTAAGAAATAAGCATGTCACAGCAAACAAAGGACATTGAGGGAACTGTGACAGATCTAAGTGCCCTAAAGAGATGGGACAAGCACAGAAAGCGACGTGTAGGCTGGATTCCATTCTGGGGAGGTGCTGGTATGCACCTTTCAGGACAGTTCAGAAGCTGAAAAGTGGACTGTGCTGTTTATGTCCAGTCTTAAGTTTAAAAACAGTACTGTGGTTTCATAAGAGAAATTTTTTCTTGGGTAACTACAATGAGATATTAAAGGATAAAAAGATAGTGTTCAACATGATCTCAAATGGCTTATAAATAAATCAAGAGAAGGAGAGAAAGGGGAGATTTAGAGAGATCTGGGTACAAGTCTGTGGGAGCTGGACTCTTAAAATAGTCCTCTAAACTTGACATTACTTTGAAATCAGAAGGCCACTGTCCTTCTCTGCTTACTCCCATTCTGTGGCGTCAGTCTCCCAGGCAAGCTTCCCTGAATGGGTTTGCCCTATCATCTCTGTTCTGGCCCACGATGGTGTTCCTGCAATTCACACATTGTACTATTTTGTGTTTTAAAATATATGGAAATAGTATCTGACCATAATTACCAGTCTGGTCACTCAAAATTGTGTTTTAAACTATTATATAAAATTTCAAACATAGACAGAAATGGAAGAGTGCGATGAACCCATGCGTCAACTCCGGCCCCTGTCACTCACTACCCCTGCCTCTGAGCTCACAGCGGAGCAAAGCCAGGACAACACAGCCTTTCATCCACTGACACTTTAATTTGTATTTCTAAGAGCTAGGAAATCTTTTCAAAAACATAATTGAAATTCCATGATTTCGCTAAAAATGGCAATGATTCTTTAACCCAATGCTCGGGCACTGCTCCCATTTCTGCTGGTACCCCACCCTGTCTCCTCCCGTCCTCTCTTCTTCGAATTAAGCCGCAAGTAAAAATGCCCAGACACTGTGATTGGTTTATAGGGTTCCTTTGAATGCATTCTCCCCATTACTCCACTCTCCAGAAACCAGATCATGTGTCCTGTAGAGTTTTTCAATCTGTACTTTGCAGATTGCATGCCTATTTCTGTAAATTGATATTAGAATTTCAGCTCATTTTTCCCCTTTGGCAAAAATAAACCATGGGTAGTTGTGTGAAATTTTGCCAGGAGGTACCAATTTCTGCTTGTTGTGTTTTGTGGCATTAGGTGCAGTGAATGATTCCAGATCCAGTACTTGTTTGAAGTAGAAACTTGACTGAGGTCGAAATATTCTAATTCCATCATTCATGCTGCATTTATTTGGTAAAATACTAGGAAGACGAACTTTGCCTTGACAGGCTAAATGCTGCATTCTCCCTATTTACCAGTTTTGGAAGTAGCAGTGCGTGGTGTGTTTCTGTCTAGCAGTTCCTCTGATTCCATCTTGGGCCAGCCCGAGCCTCTTCTGCAGGCCAGGCCTTCTTGTCGGCATTAGCATTCTTGACTGCTTTCTAACCTTCTAGTTTCAGGTGGTATATGGTTTGTGAATGTCCAGCGAAACCTGGAGCCCCCACTCTATGACCAATTCTAGGACAGGGCATTTTGAGGACCTTACAGTGACAGTTGTCACTGTCAAACGTTGTAGCTCCCAGCTGCTGCTGTGGATACACCACACGCTTTCAGCACTGTACTATATTCCTGGCAAGCCTCCTACGTCTCAGCTCCTTTTCTCTGCTACTGACATTCCCAGTTCTGAGTGATAACAGCAGGATGGCTTTCCCTTGTCTTGAACCATAGGAGCAGAACTGACATTGCCACCACTAGCATGGCTACTGAAACTCTTCTCTCCGCATTGCTTTGTTGTTGGGGTCTTGCTGCAAGTATACAAGTTACTGAGTTGGAGCTGTTCCTCTCAGTGCAGTTATGGCACTGGCTGCACATACATTGTTAATTTAATTCTCAATAGTTAGGAATTATTTTTAAATTTAATTTTTGTCTTGGCTACTTTTCTTTTGTTGCTGGGACAAAATACCCAACACCCCCAAATTGAGGAAGGAAGGTTTATTTAGCTCACAGTGTGTGGAGGTTTCAGTCCATACTTGGCTGGCTCCAAGGCAAAGTGGCACATGACAGAGAACAACAAAACAACAGGAGCAAAAGGGGAGAAACAGTGGCAGCAGCAACAGCAGCAGAGAGAACAAGTCTCTCTTCTTGTGGGCTTGAGCAAGTGGAGCTTCAGGACTGGATTATGCTCCTGTGGAAAGGGCTGCAGGAATGGGATATCTCTCCTGCTTTCCATACTTGAGGACACAGCATTCACCCCTCTTGCCCTTCTGCCTCTTTCTACAGGTCCTGTAAGTGAGATTAGACAGAAGAAATAGAGGTATGTAGAAGAAAGACAAAGAAACTATAACTTGAAGAGAGCCCCGGCTCCAAAACATGCCATGTTACTCCAGGGTACGATGGCTTTCCACCCCGGGCTGTGTTTTCCTTCCAAGCTCCTCATGCCTAAATTTCTTAGAGTCTTAAAAATACAATAAGCCCATAAATTTGGTCTGTGTTTTGCTTCTGATATTATAAATCCACAAATTCCACACTCCCACCACTTTCAAACAAATAGTGGTATTAATTGGGTGCCATACTTCTAAACTTCAAACACATGCAAATGGTTTGCATTCTAGCCTAGTTGATAAAGTCGATTTTTAATTTAGCTCAGTAACAGTTAACCTGAAAGATAGGAGACACATAAATAATTCAAAGACCAAGCATCTCAAATATTTGTCTTGAGGATATCCCAAGACCACACAAATATCCTGCATCCCAGGCTACAATGTATCTCACCCTTATGCTTCTTTGATTCTGCCTAGTAAATCTGCCTGTGTATTTCCCTGAGGTGTCCTGAAGAACTTTTCCACAATGAAAAGTCGAGAACCTCCCTGCTGGTATGAGCACTCAGCAAGAAGGTCTTAGCAGACACCACAGCTGTGCCCTGGTGTGGCTTTCAGCCCCACGACTGTGAGCCTAGGTTCCATCACAACCTGTGGTGCTCTAAGACAACACTACTTTCATTCCAATTTTAACTTGTGATAAGTCTATCTGACTATCTGTTCTCTTCTTATGCATGCTCAGTTTCAGGGTCTGAATTGAGGTATTTTTAATATTTACTACCATAAGCTAGTTTCCTCTGTAATTATGCTTTTTCTTTTCAGTGTTTCCTGGGATTTTCTTTTTTTCCTTTTTGAGACAAGGTCTCTCTGTGCAGTTGCTGGCCTTGAGCCCAATTTGCAGCCAGGATGGTCTCTAACTCCCAAAGATCCTCCTGCCTTAACCTCCCAAATGCTGGGATGATAGGCATGTGCCACCATGCCAGGTGAGAATTTTTATATGGCCTTCCAAATAAGCTTGCTTTTT